TCTCCCAAATTTGGCGAGAGACATGCAGATTCTAGACGCTGAGCAAATCCAAGCAGGATAAATGCACAGAAACCACACCTAGGTACATAATAATCAAACCGTTGAAAAGCAAAGGTTAAAAAACATATTGAAAGCAGACAGAAGAGAAACAACTACATACAGGGGAATAACATTTAGAATGACTAATGATAGCTGTTTTCCCATCAGAACTGTGAAAGCCAGCAGAGCAATTTTAAAGCAAGGAACAAAACAAAACAAAAAACCTGTCAACCCAGAATTCTATATTCAATGTAAAAACATCTTAAATAAAGAAAATAGAATTCATTGCCAAAATACCTACAGTACACGAATTGCTAAGCAAAGTTCTTCAGGCTAAAGAGAAATTATACCTAGATCTTCAGGAAAGAATGAAGAACACTGGATATAGAAAATATCCAGGTAAACATCAAAGACCAGTTTTTCCTCTTACTAGCTTAAAATATAGAGGACTGTTTACAGCACACAGTGTAATTTGAGATTATAAGGTATGTGGATGTAATACACATAACCATAGCATGCAGGACAGGGCACAGGTGGTAAGTGGACCTCCGCAGCTGCAAGCTCATTGCATTTTGACTAAAGTTGTACAATGTTAATGCTCAATGCAGTATGATCCTTGCAGAAAGAAGGATCGAAGGATCTTGAGGAAGAATGAAAATTAAACTCAGAAGGAAGTACTAAGATACAGGAAGGAATGGTGGGCAAAGAAATTGGTGAGTGTGAGCAAATCTAAATAAACATTAGGTGCATAGAATAATAATATGAATGGTTAGCTGCAAAAGTATTAGGAAAAAACGACTGAAATACTTTATAATAATAATATGTAAGACAGAAGGGGATGATTAGAGGTGAAAGTTCTACGTTTCTTGTATTGTTGACTAGAAATTCTAGTCAATGGTCGACACTTTAAACCAGGTATGAATGTTCAAATTTGAGGATAACCATTAAAAGAATAAAGATGAAATGATGAAGTTAATTACTAGCAGAGGAGAGAATAGAAACTAGGGAAAATTTATCAATCCAATGGAAAATAGGAAGAGGGAAGAAAAGAAGTATAAAAAAAAATAAGATAGGCTGGGCATGGTGGCTCACGCCTGTAATCCTAGCACTCTGGGAGGCTGAGGCAGGAAGATCACTTGAGGTCAGGAGTTCAAGACCAGCCTGAGCAACAGCATAACCTTGTCTCTATTAAAAATAGAAAAATTAGCTGGGCATGGTGGCGCATGCCTGTAGTCCCAGCTACTCGGGAGGCTGAGGCAGGAGGATCACTTGAGCCCAGGAGTTTGA